AAATTTAGAGTAAAAATGAGATTCGAACTCTCAACCTCTCACACTCACAACTCCTTACACATGTCCTCTTGCCAATTGTGCCATTTTTACTTTTTAGAAAAAAAATGCATGCCATATGATATTTACCTGCAAAAAGTCAAACGACTACACAAATTTGTTAGTAATTGATTAAATGCAATAAAAATGCAATGAAATGCGACGACAAATCTTAGGGCAAAATTTGGGGTATTACAACGTCCTTTTATAGTGCTGAGAGTCCAAAGCTTGAAGACTGTGCAAGTAGAGTAGTTGTAGCCTTTTGTCTTCACATGACTTTTCCTTTCTCACAAGTAGAATGTTCAGAGAAATGCCTTTTGCCTGAATCCTTGTGTCTATCATAAATAAGGAATAGTTCTGTTGGAGAGGACGTTGAGAATAGTACCAAGTCTATTCACGTGCTAACATCTTTTCAAATGTAAACAACATCAGATCCTCTGATGTGCTTCTTGTTCTTCAGATCAGATTCAATGATATCAGAGTTGCAGCAATAGTGCTTTAGCGTGAATGATCTGATCAGAGCATAAATGTTTATCAGAGCCTCTGTACTTACAACGTAAAGTACATTCAGAGTCTTCTGAAACAATGCTTGAAACTCTTCATACAGAATCTTCAGCTACGCTTCAGATGCTTCTGCAGCTTCTGCTTCAGAGTCTTCTGCAGCTTCTGCTTCAGAGTCTCTTCTGGCAGCGCTCAGAGTCTTCTGATGGCTTGCTTCTGATGCTTCAGAGCTTTGCGTAACTTGCTGTTCAGATGCATTTTGCTTCCATAATGATATTTAATTTAATATCTGAAACAAAAATACTTGAACAAAATTAGAGTATATATTTTCTTAATACAAAATTTCATTAGAGTTATCATCAAAATATAGAGATAATATTAAACACCAATCTGTGTTCTAACACATCCTTCCGTGTTGATTCTTGTCATTGGGCAAATAGCTTTCTCTTTTCTCCTTGCGACATAGGGATGGTCTTGACAAATGTTGCCCACTCAGGATAAATGCCATCCTCTAGGTAGTAACCCATATGATATGTTGTTCGATTCACCGAGTATTGTACTGCAGGATCTTTTCCATTCAAAACATCATTAAACACATCAGACGTGTTTAACATATTAATGTCGTTGTTAGAACCCGCAGTTCCAAAATATGCATGACAAATCCACAAGTCTTGAGATGCCACAACTTCAAGCATGATTGTGGGTTTACCATGATCACCTCTAGAAAATTGACCTTTCCATGTGACAGGACAATTTTCCATTCCCAATGCATACAATCAATTAAACCCAACATACCTGGAAAGTCGCGTGTCGCGTTAATTTGTAGTAGGCGTGCAATGTCTTCATTGTTTGGCCTTCTCATGTATTGAGCACCAAATATTGTGCACACGCCTATTACAAACCTGTCTAAGCACTCCAATGTCGTGCTTTCTCCAATTCGAACATAGTCATCCACACTGTCAGCTGGTGATCCATATGCTAGAATACGAAGAGCAGCTGTGCACTTCTGCAATGGTGAAAGACCCATTCTACCCACTGCATCAATCCTTCTTTGAAAGTACTCATCATGATTTCCAAGAGCTTAAACAATGCGAAGGAACACATGTCTTCGCATACGGAACCTTCGTCTGAATTGAGCCTCCATGTAAATAGGATTTTCAGAAAAGTAGTCATTGAACAATCGATGAGGCCCTTCTTCATGACTTCGATCTATCACCGTTCTTCTTTTTCTATGCTTACTTGTATTGTTGGCTTGTTGTTGCACCTCTCATACCAACCTTATCACATCTTCCTCAGTGTTGTCATTAAGGTAATCATCTACAACTTCATTCCAGATTTTATCCCATTCAGCATTTGGATCCATGGATGATATGATGAAAATAATATAATGGGAAAACATGTGAGGTATATATATGCTAGTTTTTTTATAACGGCTAGTTTACAACGGCTAGTTTTATAACGGCTAGTTTACAACGGCTAGTTTTACAACGGCTAGTTTTTTACAACGACTGATTTTACAACGGCTAGTTTTTTATAACGACTAATTTTACAACGGCTAGTTTTTTTATAACGGATAGTTTTACAACGGCTAGTTTACAACAACTAGTTTTACATAGCTAATTTGAAACATAGATACAAAATTAAAATAACAATCATTTGAAACAAAATTACAATAATATGAAATGCATATTCAAACCTAAATAACAACAACAACAACAACAACAATAATAATAATAATAATAATAATAATAATAATAATAATAATAATAATAATAATAATAATAATAATAATAATAATAATAATAATAATAATAATAATAATAATAATAATAATATTAATAATACACCTAGCTTCTCTTGAAGTGCTTCTCGTTGATACTTTGACAAATTTCTTCATGCTCTCGGCGTTGCTCATCATCCATTGTTGATTTGTCCTTCATGAGAATTTCATACAACACGGGTATGCTCTCTGCCAACTTTGCTTCAGCTATTTTACCATAGATAGCTAATTTCTTTTTTGAGGCCCTTTCCATGCCAGTCAAATCCACTATGGGTGTTATAGATGGAGATGCTTTTCCCTTGCCCTTCCTTTTTGCCACCTTTTGTCCTGCTGGGCGGTCGGTCTGAGTTGCACTGTTGTATTATGAACAATCTATGGGATTTTCTGGATTAGATGATGAATATGTCCCGATAGAAGATATCTTTGATCTCTTTGAAGAGTTGTTCATTTCTTGCCCCTTCCATTTAGGTTCATCCTTCAACAGCCTCCACGCGTGCTCCATTGTGAAACATTGATGATGCACTTGGACAAAAATTTTACGTGCCTCTTCCATGACGTCTGTCTCAGACTGTCCATTTTTCTTGTTAGCAACAACTAGTTTGTAGTTTCTGCAAAACCATTGACAATGTTTATTCAATAGATGCCATCGAGATTTGAGTGTAGACCACTCTCTTGCTATAAGTGGTCCACGATAGTTGTTATAGCCATCTTTGATTCTACCCCAAAAACTATCTGCTTTTTGGTCAACTCCGACTATTGAATCTTTGGAAATGTTAAGCCATGTCTGAATAAGCAATTTATCTTCTTCTTATAAGAACCTGAGACGCTATTTTTTTTGGGTTTAATGTTCTCCTTCTTCCATAAAAGTAATATTTTCTAGACCATCCTGAGTGGAGTTGCCTGGCACTTGAGAATCTGTAGTGGACCCAATTAGTGATTCTGATTCAACGTTAGGAGACTCTACAACATCGATGGTTGGTGGTAGTTGAAACATAAACGGTCGGGTATATTGAGAATTGTTGCCATTAGAGAATGGTGGTGATTGAAACATAAAAGGTTGGAGAGTTTGAGAACCGTCACCAATAGGGAGCGATGGTCGCGGACACATTTGAAAATTTTGAGAACTGTCACCGGTGGGAGTTTGTAAATAATTATAATAAGGATTCCATTGGTTGGGATCCATTTGATAAATAAATAAGATTGGAAATTGAAAGAAACAAATTTAGAAGTAAAATTGTGTGTAAAAAAGAATTAAAGTTTCTATAGAATTTATAGAAGGTAAAAAATGGTAATATGACCGTTACTATTTTCAAATATCATGTCGTTACTTTAATGTCATTGGAATATTTTATTAATATTAAATAATATTATAATATGTTTCACATTGAATAGTTAACGTTAACAATATAGATAATGGAAACTAAAATTTAGTTTATTAAATGCCATGTCAGCTCTACTATAATGCAAATTTTTTTATTACTAACGTAAGCTATACAAAATTTTGGTTTAACAACTATGCGCTAAAGTTGCTCTAAATACACACTTATTAACTATCATATTTGATATTTTCAGCTAGAAAATCCATTGTACTTTTTAAAGTTACTTTTAGTGGACCCTAAGTGATACATGTAATTTGAAAATATGATTTAAATATATCAATCATCAATCTATATTAGCTTCTTTTTTTTTTTTGGTTTCTGTATTTTAAAAGAAAATAGTCGGTAAATGTTAAAAAGATTTTGGTATCATATATAACGAAATGCTTAGTTTCAAAAAGGGTTACATATCAAATGTTTTTGACACTTAGTACTAGTGACATAGTTTTTAAAATCTGATCTCACTAAATTTGACAGTAGCTCCATGTTGGTTTTCAATGAGTTTAACAATGTTTATCACTTGTTGTCTAACTTCAGATATAGATTTCATAAGTGTTATCCATGTGTATCTGCCACAATCATCGATAGAACTTAAAAAATATGCATGACCATGTAAAGATTTGACAGCAAAGGGTCCCCAAATGTCAAAATGAATCATATCATAAGGGTGAGCAGCCTTATTTTTGCTAACAGTATATGAAAGTTTTCTTTGTCTACCATAATGACACACATCACAAACATCTTTATTATTAATTATGATAAAAGGGAATTTTGAATGTAAGTACAATAATATGTTTTGTGATAATTGTCCTAGTCTAAAGTGTCATAGGGCTCTATCAGGTAAAAATACATTGGCTGCTAAAACTGGTGTGTGTTCAATATTGACATGTAAGTCATTTTCTCTTAGTGTTAACTAATACAAGGCATCCTTCTTTTCAATAGAACCAGACATCTTCATTGAAGTTTTATCTTGTATAACACATTTGGAATCAAGGAACTTAACATTACAGTTTGAAAATTCACATAACTTTGAAACAGATAACAAGTTTAGGGAAAACTCAGGGATCAACAAGACATTAGGCACAATACGTTCAGAATAAAAAATTAATTGTGCCAAAGTATTTAGCAACTAGATATTGCCCATTTGGAAATCTAACATTGATAGGAATGATTTCTCTATAAAAGTGAAACCATTTGATTGAACCATAAATATGCCCAGTAGCTCCTAAATTGATGATCCAAGAACCTAGACTACAATTATGCATGAATTGATGTATGTTACATGCTGATGAATGACCAACAATAACCTAATTAGAAGAAGCATGTCCCGAGACTTGGACAATGCTGGATTTTTGAAGTAGCGCCATTAGAACACTAAATTGACCTTGAGTCATAGGTGACGTGTCACCTTTGATGTTAACACTATTAGGGATATATTCATTATCATTTCCATCGGATGTAACATTATTTGCTGCATTTTGAAATTTCTTTCGCATATGATGTGGAACACCATGCTTCTTGAAGCAGTTTTCCACTGTGTGGTTGGTTTTACCACAGAATGTGTACACATGAGCTCCATGTTTAAATGTATTGGATCTTGATCCAAACTTCTTGGAATCAATAACATTTATCAATGATTGATATTCATCATTAGGTATATGCCGCTGAAGATGTTGTTCATATTGGGTAACCATAGAAAATATCTTGTTATTTGGAGGCAAAGGATCCATTAACAGAATTTAAGATTTAACTACGAAAAAATGATCATTCAGGCCAGTTAAAAAACAAATAATATGCAGTAATTGATGGTTGGATCTTGCATTACACATAGCTACGCAAGAACACTTTATACGGCATGTACACATTGCTAAAGGCAAGTACAAATCTAATTCTTCCCAAAGAATCTTGAGATCAGACAAGAATTCAGTTACCGACTTTGTTTCTTGCTTGAGATTGTAGATTTTTTTCACTGCAGTTCGGAAGTGCGAATTAGGTCACCTTGGGAGAATCTTTCTTTTAGATCGTTCCATGCATCAACACCATTTTCCATGAAAAGGATCGACTGTGAAATGGAATCCAAAACATAGTTCATAATCCAAGAATGAACCAACATGTTATAGCAATTCCAAGCACTAACGAAGGGATCAAAAGAATCGTCTGGAACTGGAAGAGATCCATCGATGAATTCAAGCTTCATCTTACTATCAAGAGCTCCTTTCATGGATCGAGCCTAGGAATGATAGTTTGAACCTGTGGGCTTGGGATGAATGGCGACAAAGTCATGACCATTATTGGGATGAACAAAGTATGGTGAGGTTTGATCTAAAACAGGATCGAGTGGTGAAACTCACAGAGGAGCCATGGAAGAATGGGAAGGATTCAGACGTATAACAACGGAAGAATGATCGAAAAGGCTCTGATATCATATTATGATCAAGCATATTAATCATGAAAGAAGAAGAAGGAATGAAGTAAAATGTGGAAAAGATAGTAATGCTTCATTATTTAACTCAAATAAGAGGTTCAATATATATTGTTAGATCTGTTCAAAACCTTATGATTTCTACCGATATAGAAATCAAGAACAGAACTCTAAAATAATTCATATAAGTCGATATAGCATCAACTTGTATCCCTTAAACGCATACCTGAATACAATTATGAGAATGAAGGCGGAAGCGTACCTGAATTTTCCATTGAAATTGTTGAAGGTTTTGGGTATGTGATCTTCCGATTTATAGAGTTCCTTAGGGTTCCTTAAATCTCCTCTGATGGGGATGAAGAGAGAAAATCTCATAAACTTATTTTGTCCGTACTCTACAAATGGGGACCATAACCTAGTTAAATAACACTAGGGTTATTTCTTAGTTTTGAATATTCTAATTTGGCCCCTCATCAAATTAGATATTGACTTACAATATCTACACAATAACCTGACATTTCATGACATTTATGCTTTTAGCCACAAACTTAATATTATATTAATTAGACCCTTTTAAGTCTTCCTAATTAAAATAATGACACTAACACCTTAAATGTTACATTTGTGGCCCAAAATTCTAACAATATCTCATTGGTCACATATGTAACTTTACACACGTGTTAGACTTTATGAGCTCAAAATTTTCCATTATATTCTTTAAGCATATCCAAAGTATCTCGTCTATTAGTCATGCCAATATACAGAATCAAGGTGATTTTCATTATATCAATCATAACTAACCCATAAATGATCACTGGTAGTGACACAACTAAATGACATAGATCCATCATGAAATGTGTAGCATGAAAATCACTTGAAGTTGGTCTTTATATGTCGATTTTCAACTGGTCCTACTTTACTGTAGTGAGATCATTCAATAACTTTATTGTACAACATGTAAACTACTGAATATCAAACTTTATTAATTGGAAAATATCCAAAATCATAGTATGCATACATAATACCAAACATAGAACTTAAAATTCATAATCGACTAACTCCCACTAAACCAAAGACTCCTCTAACGATAAAACACCCATGTGAGCAGTGTGCTCATGAAAGACCTTGGGTGGAAGATCTTTTATAAGAGGATCTGCTATCATGGAGTTTGTCTCCACGTGTTCTATGGAAATCTATCCACTTTGTACCTTTTCTTTAACAACTAGGAACTTGATGTCAATATGTTTTGACTTAGTCGAGCTCCTATTATTATTGGAATATAGGACGACTTATTTGTTGTCACATTATAACTTAAGTGGCCTTTCAATTCTTTCCATAATTTGCAGTCTAGTGACAAGATTCCTCGGCCAAATCCCATGGTTGAATGCCTCATAACATACTATAAACTCTGCTGCCATGGTGGATGAAGCCGTAAGAGTTTGCTTAGCATTGTGCCAAGAAACTGCACCACCAACCAACATGTAAATATAGCCTAAAGTGGATCTTTTACTGTCTTGGCATCCAGTAAAATCTAAGTCAGAGTATCCAGTGATCTCTAACTGGTCTGACCTCTTATATGTGAGCGTATAATATTTTGTTCTCTTTAAATACCTCATAACATTTTTGGCTGCTTTCCAATGATCCATTCTTGGATTGCTCAAATATCTTCCTAACATCCTAACTATGAATGCAATATCCAGACAGATGCAGAGCTGGGCGTACATCAGACTCCCTACTGTTGATACATAAGGAATCTTTTGCATTTCTTGAATTTCTAAGTTTCCTTTTAGGCACTGACTGAGATTGAATTTTTCTCCCTTAGCAATTGGAGTATCTCCTGATTTACATTCCTGCATGCCAAACCTTTTAAGTACCTTTTCGATATAGCTCCTTTGTGGTAATCCTAGAATACCACGAGATCGGTCTCGATGTATCTGAATTCCTAATACAAAGGAGGCATCACCAAGATATTTCATTTTAAAATTTCTTGATAGAAATTTCCCAGTCTTGTGCATCATTCATATATCATTTGTGGCAAGCAGTATGTCATCTTCATACAAGACAAAGAAAACGTACTTGCTCCCACTGAATTTGTGATACACACAATCTTCAACAACATTCACCTCAAAACCAAATAAGAGAATTACTTCGTGAAACTTGTGATACCACTGATGAGACGTCCGCTTTAGTCCATAAATGGATTTTGTCAATTTGCAAACCATATTCTTTGAGTCTTGATCAGTGATTTTTATACGTTAGTTTACCTTTTGTTTCAGTTAATCATTTGTTATATCTTGTCGCATTTTAGTTGTTTTTATTACATTTTATGCGTCGATTTGGTATTTTCACTGTTTCTAGGTTCAGGTAAGCAATAAAGGAGAATTAGAGCAAAAACCGGGGAAAATGGAAAATCTTCGGAATCTTTGAAGAGAAATATAGGCATGTCAACAGCATGACACGGGTGCCCGTGTCCCATGACACGGCTCGTGTCAGGACCTCTGAAGAAAAAGAACGCAGCCTAAGAGTCAGCAGTCTGACACGGTCACCCGCGTCCCATGACATGGCCCGTGTTAGAGGTACTGATAGTGAAATGTTCTTATTTTGTTTTATGCTGGCTTGAAGGGCATTTTGGGCATCACGTAGTATAATTTGAATTCAGATATATTGGACGCATCGTGGATTGAGAAAGGGACTTTTTTTGGGACAGAAAAGATAAGAGGATCAAGATTGCAGCGATCAAGGTTTGGAGGAAACTGAAGGTTCTCATGAGCGGAAGCGATTGAAGTTCAAGGCAACCCCATTATCTTGTAATGTTTAGTCTAATTGTTGATTTTATTTTAAATATTATGAGTAGCTAAACCCCCCAATGCTAGGGGGTGTCCCTGAATTGATTATGTAATGACCTTGTTTTCTCTGAGTTATTGATTTCACTGCTTTCTAATCATCGTTGTTATTGTATAATATTCTTAAGGCTTTTCTTATCTGAAAAATAAGAAGTCAATTTACGGTTAACCTTAGGTTTGGAAAAACGACCGTTAACGCTTTTATACAATAATGCTATAATCGATATTACCTAGGAATGGGGATACCTTATAGTAACCGTAGTGTTTTAGATAAAATATATTGCTTGGTATTGTTCCTATACCGCCAAGGAATTGGGGAATAGGAAGAATACCAAAGGGTTTTCTGCTAAGGAATTAGAGTTAACTAATCTTTAAAACCGGTAACGATTGAATTGAGCAGTGATTTCTGAAAACTAAGGATTAAGGTTATTATAAGGCTTTTCATACACCTTCCCTAACATGCTTCTCATAATTGTCTAAAACCTTTATTTGACTGGTTTTGCCTTTACATTTTGCAAACAACAAACCAAAACCCTTTTGACTTTTTGTTCAATTGCATTACTATAAAACTTGTATTCATACGCAGTCCGCGAGATCGATATTCAGGGAATCTCCCCTTATTACTACATTGGTAAAAATAGTACACTTGCTATTTCACCGGTCAAGTTTTTGGCGCCGTTGCCGGGGACTGTCAGAATATAAGTTTGATTTAATTCAATTGAAATTTTGTCGCTCTGCGACCAAAATTTTATTTTCAGTTTTGATTTTTATTTTTATTACTAATCTGCGTCTAACATTTTCATGCGAGGAGACCCCTCAGCTAATATTTCTTTGGATGCAGAAATTGAAAGAACTCTACACGAAAGACGTAGACAAGCTAGACTAGTAGTTTCAGAAGAAGAAAGAGTTTCTATTCATTCAGATTCAGGTTCGGAATCAGAAAGAGACACTGAAGCTATGGCGGATCTCCCACCAGCGGAGAGACTTCTTGGAGATTACGGCGGGGCGAATGCACCAGCTGGTAGATTAACAATTGTAAACCAACCAGTGAATGTCGCAAATTTCCAGCTGCACCCGAGCACAATCACTCATCTTGAGAGGATACCTTTCACTGGAAAGGTTAACAAAGATGCAAATAAACATCTACAAAGATTTCTAACGATGAGCACTACTCTAAAGATTGAAGGACACACAGATGAAGCAAAAAGGTTAAGAATGTTTCCGTTCACATTATCTGAAGAAGCTGAAGAATGGTTTTACAACAGCCACTGGCATCAGAAAAATTATTGAAGCCATCGCTGCAAACGAGCATATGTAATTATATGATCGAAGTGTGAGTAAGTCGGAAGAAATAGTTGACTTGAAGTTGGCTGCACAAGTTATGAAAATGGAAGATCAAATCAAAGTTGAAGTGGAAAGAAGGCTTAAGGGAATGAATGTTGGTACTGAAACTATAGCTCAGGTT